AATAGGCTACATTTTATGGGGAGTATCAAATAAGGCAGCGAAGAGAAGAAGAATAAATAAGTCCGTTTATCATGAATGAGTGACACAGCAGCAGATAACACTTCAGAGGCTGTGTGTGTGTGTTTTTTGGTGTGTGTGTGTGTATTATAAACTTTGTATGGAGCATCATGAGCCTGTGCAGCCTGAGCTCGCCAGTTTTACCTCCCTGCAATATTGATGTCGAACCTGATCCTAAGCGCATCCTCTCCTCTTTCCCCATCAAGAGGCTTCCCCTGCAGCCCCCGCCAATAATTACAATTTTATACTGTAATTATTCCTCTCTTTTTAATTATTTAGACCGCCGACTTGAATGCAGCCATTGTCGCTGCTTATTCCGGGGAAACGTGAGCTGACGTGGCTGCACAGCAGCGAGGAGTTTTTAATTAGACATTTCAGCGGTAATTTTAGGCGAGCTCTTTATTATTACTGTTGGATACAAATTACCCGGGCCTCATTGATATGCTCTCAATTGTTTAAACAAACCTTTAACCTGAAACATTAATGCGCTTCAGGTTGAGGTCATTAGGAGTCACAACTCACCAGGTGAACCCAGACCTGATGGATTATTTAACACGGCACTGCATGCGACGTGTTTTGTTGTGTGAAATAACGTTTAATCAGCGTTTGATTCGCAATTAATGCGATAAAATGTATTAAATGTATATTTCAGAGGTCACCAAGTTACATAAACACATCTTTTTTTGTATCCATAACATACTACTGATTTAACTTATAATTATCTTTGTATGTGTTGAGTAGGCTATATTGTGGTCTATATATTCCACAAATAATTGCCTTCTTAGCAGATCTAGTTCAAACCTCTTATTTAACTGCTACATCACTTCCTGTATTGTTGTCCATTGCAATCTCATAGCCCATAAATGATAGGAAAAAAGTCTGTAGCCTACGTGCTTTTGTAAATTGGAGTGGTCCACTGCATACAAAAATGTATCCTTGTTAAACAAAAACGTGAAATAAATCTGTAAAGCAGTCCACAGGATTTTGGGTTTCCTTGATCTGAGTTAAACGGATTGCAGCTGAAGCTGATTATATAATATTTTTCTGCAGGACGTGTTTATTTCCCAAACAAATGCATTTTTTCATGATGTCAAAAGATAAATCAAGCCCGCCTCAATCAGGACAGGTTTAATAACAGCAGCAATTGGGGCCAAATGTTTTATAATTAACAGTTGTATCAGCACCCTATAAAACCATGACCCCTATAAATCCCATTTTAGAGACCAATCAATCCTCCTCTCGGACTAAAGGGCCTATTGATCCCTCGCTGCTAAACGCTTTCTCCGTAGCCTTTTTTGTTTCCAGTGTAAAGAGCATTTCGATTGCACTTTTTATTGGAGGAAAGATTCCGCCGAGAGGAAAGCGATGGCTCGAAAATTAAACGGTGACATTTTAATTACAGGACATTGATAAAGGGATCTGGGTAATGGCTGTGTACAGGGCGGCCGCTCATTGTCCCGCCTGATGTGCTAATCAAGTCGGACTGCTCTGAAAAAAGGTCATCGGCCGATACAAAGCAGAGACGCAGCTCGGTGGGAATTTGGGAATATGAAGGGCCCGGACTGCCAGAAATGAAGACGCATCTCCAAACAAAGCGCGGTCAATATCCCGGAGAGAGGCCTGCCAGATGAGATCATGCAGCAGCCACATTTTCATTCCAGACATATTATCACTATAGGTCACACCAAGCACAGCCATAGATCATCTGATGCCACAATTTACATGCAACAGAAATGGTTTGTGGCAGGCGGAGCTGTCACAACACGGACTGATCATCAGCTTCATCCGGCATGGCAGAGGTGAATCCAGCATGTGATCGGCAGTCTAGTTATCATGTCAGCTTTAAACCAGACAAGACTCTTTGAGAATCTTCCTCAATAGGATGCGAGTTTTAGCTATGCACTCAAACCTCCAACCCTCAGAAACAAACCAAAATTATTATTTTTGGCCTAAAATACAACTTTGCCACAATACATTTTCCATAAGGGTTGCTATATGTGGTCATTGGAAATCTTGTAGCACACCACATCCAAAAGCCAAAACCTAATGTCAGGAATATTAGGCTAATTGAAAGTTTTGTCAATGAAAGTAAAGCAATTGCAAACTGATGTTTTTGATTCTGTATTTTACTGTTAAAGTGACAAGTTATCTGATGTGCCTGGACTTATAATGTATCAGGGTTGCAGTAGTAATAGGCAATGTAGGCCCCTAATGAATACAAAGTTCATATGTATTACCTATAAGGAAATCTTTACCCAATACTCACATGTCCAGATGTACGGGATGTTGCATCTGTTCCCCCCCCCCATTTAGACTGCAGCTGAAGAAATCCCGTCCTGATGCTATATTCCAGTGGGAGAGATGTCACTGTTGTTGTTGATGTTCTGTTTTCAAAGTTTAGCTGAGATAGTGAGGCTTCAGCAGCGAGAGTAAGTCACTTTCAAAAGTTCACGATATGTTTGATACAAAGTTAACTATTTCCCTTGCTGAGCTCCAGTGCAGTGATAGTAGTTAGGGGGTCATCGGAGTTCACAAAGATCATGAGTCTGCATCAAATTTCATGGCAGCATTTCACTGGGAACATGCTGGTGGCGCTGGAAGAAAAGGTCGGGTCCTACCAACATGTTTAGGATTCATCCACCGAGGACCATCAACTAAAATAACAAAATGTCACGGCCCTGCGTCCAACTGTTGATGAGATATCTCAATTTGGACCAGACTGGTGGACCAACCAAAAGATTACTTTGCCAAAATTCACTCAAACCATTCGCACTACAATGACGTTAATATCCCAGACATTACTCAACAACGTTTGAATGGATTGCAATGCCATTTGGTCAACATTTCTGTTTGTCCTTTCGGCTATTTTGTCAATGTAAGCATTATAACATTATACCTGCTGCTAGCATAGTCACTGTGACTACAATAGCATGACATTAGCATTTTGTTAGACTCCTAAACATGTTGTGTTTCCATTCAGATCAATACAAACCCTCTCTTGGTAAAGCAATAAAGATGTTTAAAAGGTTGTTGTTGTTGTAAAATAACTGGTTATACCCCTAAAGTTTGCCTGTTAGTTCCGAAATATCGGAGAACAGAACATGGGACTTTGCGCATTAAAGTGCAAAAATAAACATTTCCAGACAAAGCACACCTTGGCAGCTGAGAAAAGTGACATATAAGGATTTCTCAGTATTATAAATATATAAAACATCCTCTTTAACAGAGTATCATAAAGAGTTTTACAGAGATAACACAACTCTAAACATCCTCTCATTGGTGGCACTCAGCAGAGGCTTTTAGGTCGATACTTCAGGACAACTCTCTTATTGATCTGGCAGCAGGTGTCCAAGGTTGTGTTTTTAAAGGATACAACAGTAAATGTGACAAAGGCTAAATGATTTTCTGCCTGGCTGTACTCCGAACAAAAGGGTATCCACAGATGCTGTACGGTGCACTATAGAGTCGACCCTGCACTTTGCATCCTCTCAGAAACTTTCTCAAACATGAATCACTTGTATGGGATGTTTGTGGCACAATGTTCACACAGTAGAGGCAGTTCTCTTTTCCACAGGAGACTTGTCATTAAAAAAAGAAGAAACAGAAATACAAGGACGAACCATATTCTGGCTCATAATGACATTTGTTGTATTACTTTTACCTTTGGTATCCATCATTAGAATGATTCTGGCTTACATTGCAGTATGAAAGGGGTCAACATGTCACAGATCAGTGAAGGTAACATGAATCACAAAATATGTTTCCCGTATCTCAGCTTTTTGTAATTAACTTCTGTATAAAGATATAATATGAAAAGTATAGACAAGCTTTGAAATCAGGCTGTTTTCTAAAGGTGCTTTTAAATAGTTGAAAACACACACAATACGAAACAGCACTGATTCGATGCGAGTGCTTAGGTGTGTGTCAGGGTCCTGAGGCTCACACACAGCTGCATAATTATTAAATCAGACTGTCAATACATGTGTTGCTGCATTCAGACAGGAACTTGTGTAAATCAGACAAGGTCTCTGATTGAAGAACAACAGTAAGTAACACAATGAAGCTGTGAAGGCCAAGCGCGTCTGTATGGAAGCCGAGACGACATGCGGAGATACAGTATGAGATTTGTTTCATTGTGACATTTTTAAATCACATCTATTTGATTCTCAAGATTGGTAGAAAACAAAACAACCACACATAAACACAGGACCTCTCCAGACTCTTAAATTAACCACGTTTGGTTTGTCTTTCACTCAAGCAGCTGTTTTTAAGAAGACGAAAACAAAAAGAAAAACACACCAGCTGCACACATTAATAACCAAAAGAAGGCGGGTGTTAATTAAAGGTTGACCAAGATTAATTATGAAATGCAAATGTAATTTAACTTAAGACAGCAAGGTGCACACAGGTTTGGGTCCTTCTAAGACAAGACATGTAAATGTCAAACTATTAATGAAGCGACCATCAATTTTCTGTGAAGTCAGGTAAAGAGTTGGGGTCACGTCCTGAAACTAAGGTCTTGTTATAAAAAACAAAACAATCTAGTTGGCAGTCTGTACTTTACACAGTTATCTGTTTCCTATTTACCTCTGGCTAAACTAATGCAATCTGATGCGGGCATCAATGGTATAACATTGGATTTAGTTAATGCTGTTTAAGAGAGTTTTATTTGACTCTTCTGGAAATGGGCTGTGGGGCTCTCAAAACTAAAAAGTTAAATAAATCAGGCAAGCTATCGAAACTAAAGCTGGTAAATGATGTGGGCACCAGAATAAAATCACACCTACAAATAATAAAGAAAATACCTCAGTGATTAGTTCAGCGTGAGTGAAAAACTGAGATCGTGCTCTCAAACTGACTTTCATCATTATTCAGTTTGAGAGCACAATCTCAGTTTTTCACTGATTTCACAATACCAAGTGAACAACAAAACTCACCAAAAGTTTAATGTTTAAATACTTTTATTCTATTTGTGCATAATGGCTGGAATATGTGCCACACAGATCATTACAGAAGGCCAAAATCAGTCAGTAATATCACAGCACTAATGTTTCTGCTGCGTCCCATCACTGCCGTGAATGGTTCATGGTTAAAGCAACACAGGACAAATATTAGGGCAAAGGTCACAAGCTGAAAAGTAAAAAAATAATAAATATTCTCTACTGATACTGCAGATACATACTTAACACAGTCAGTGAATACATTGGCAACACATAAGTCTTAGCTTTTGGACCTTACAGGACATCTGGTAAAATACAAATAAAAGTTTCTTTTTGGTTTTATTTTTAATTGCAAGAATACATTTAAGATTTGCAGCGTGTTAAAGAGCAGCCAGGGGCCACTAAACACACTTCTTATTTCACACCTTAACTGCCAAGTATTTATAGCTTGATCTACCTTTAAGGCCAACTTAATGAAAGGGCTATCTCTTATAGAAGAGATTTGGACAATTAGATAAATATAATTAACAATATATATGGTATAATGTAAAGTACATATTCTAGTTAATGTGCAACTTTTGGAAATTCATGATGTATTTTAGCTACTGGAGGACATTCAAAATGTGAGTTGATATTTGTATTTTAATTTATGAAAATGAATGGCATCTTGTACAGAAGACTTCATTAATCTATACCTAAGTAAAAAGGCAGTGCCTCTATTTCAGGTGTCAGAGGCAGGAATATTGACATAATCATTTGAATAATTGATCACAAACTGTTTATCTTAGCTGTGGTAACGGATGGAAACGGATACCATATTGAAAATATAGTTTAATATTGGATTCAATAACATTTTTATTTTTTTTCTGCTAGAAGAGGACGCTATGAGAAGTTTTCCTCCAACATCGTAAGCTACTTTGGCCTTTCAATCTGCAATAAGGAGTTGACCACCAGATGTGTGATCTGTCCAAAATGCAATCTTTCAGACTGTACTGACACCCCGTAGCATTATTACTGTCATGCTACATAGTTTAGTGGTTAGCATTCACGACATTTCTGTACTGGGTCTTTTTCAAATGATACTTAATGTGCAAAGATGGACGTCGATTACACTGCAATTTGAACACTCCTGCTAACGTGAAATGTTGAATCTTTACAATGTTTCTTCAAAGAGTCAATGTTCAGTCTTGATATTAAAAATAGTAGTCCAACAAGAAATACTCTACTTACTAAAAACATCAACAGAAGCACATAATAACTGGTGCTTTAAGCCTTGTCTGATAAACTGTCATTATATCCTGTCACTGTGGGATATGTTTTACAGTTCCTTTATGGAAGAAATCACATTTAATTGCACTTGAACTCTATACATTTCAACAGTTAATCATTAAAACCATTTTTTGAGTCATTTAACCCATTATGCTTAAGTCACTAAAGAAACACAAGGTATATTTCACCTTTTGGGTCGTCAGTGGTCTTTGGTGTTAAGTGCACTCCATTAAACGTTTTCCCTCGATAGTATAGCAACTAATCTCATTTGGCAATTCAATAAAATAGCATACTTTCTGTTCATGACATATGTTGCTAAAGTAAGGATTTACTGGTTAGAAAGCGGGATGAAAAAATAATTGAAATGAACAAAAGGTGTTGGTTTATACAGCGAGGAGAAGAAGAGATATGGTGTCTGTTACATGTTCTGCTTTTGTGTATAGTTTCTCTTATTCTTAATGGATTCTAATAATATAAAAGCTGGTGAATAAACGTGGAGAACTACTTCAGCACAATTCACTCTCAAGTAGTTTGTTCAGTGGCATTCAATGTCAGGCTTGTTTGTGCAAACGGAGATAAAAGAACATCAAAAATGTGTCTAAACAGAGAGAGAGCCTGGTTCCTGTTAATAAATGAGAACAATTAGTTGTTTGGTTAGTAAGCCTGAAAACCAATTAAAGATGGCTGTTAACATTTCATTGCATTCCAACACCTCAGAGCTGCTAAAATCTCATTGATTGTGCCGGTTTGTTGTGCACTCAACCCCCCTTTAGGACAGAGACAGAGCTTTGTGTCCACGTAATGCTCTGACCTTACAAGATTAGGGAATAACTGGATACCAACGTTCAAGTGGAAGCATTAAAAACAGGTTACGTTTTGCTATTTTAGTGACAACCTAAGTTTTCTGAGGTAATAAATGACACCAGTGGGAAGCCAGGCACACACACGGGCCGTTACTCACAGGCAGAAACCTTAACATTCACTAGAGGGCTCAACAGTAAAGCACGAGAGGGTCATTTGAGATACCATCCCAGAATCAGGGCATTACTCTGCCGGCCTATTGCAGTCTCATGCATTTGAAGGTTGTCGCTGATCCTTTAAATCTAACCGTTTTTCTCCATCCATCAGACTGTCTTACTCCCAAAAAAGGTGGGGGCAAAGCTGCAGATGCTGCACTTTTTTTAAATGCAGAGATAAGAGTCAAAGAAGCTCCTCATTGTCCCAGCGCATGAGTGCTGTTAAATGGAGAATAACTCACAGAAAGTTTGTAACATCTAGTCATTTTTAGTCCATGAGTCACTTGTACAGTCCATTTGGACGTACTTGATCCTGAAGCCTTCTGTAAGTGTTGAAGGTTTGGGATCAGATGGCCTGGTGCATTGTGGGGGGACAGCAGGAGGACGTCAGAGACCCTGCTGAGCTCGCCTCTCCTCCAGACAGCGGCACACCCACATCGACACCACCTCCGCATTACCGTCGTTAAACTGTGTGATGAAGGAATGCTCCTGAAAAGTAAAGAGAGGGACAAAAGTGGTAAAATCACTTTTATTAAGAAAACAACAAACACTGAAAGTTTGGGTTAGTTTTTATTTTATAATTAAGAAAAACACATTTCCGGAATTTAATTAGTGCATTAAAAGGTTTTATTTGGGGGAAAAAACTATCAGAAGAGAACAATAACTGTCAGAAGGAATTCAAAAGGCAGAGTTTTATGACCATTTTGATATTAAATGAAATGGCATGTAATGACATCTGCTATTAAAGTTTTATTATTAAGTTATGGGTTTTGTCAGACTGAAATTCCTGAACGAATCAAGACAATTCTTTTTTATATTATTTAGCCTTCACTCCAATTAGTTTTAGAAATGATAACTAAAAAACAAATACTAGCCACTTTCACCCTTACTCTTTGGATTCACAAAATGTGCTGGAAAAGCTCATCCTTGAACTTATCTATTGTAACAAATATGAATTAATATTAATCTCAGACCTTACGTATGACCTTCAGAATAATTGCCAAAAAACGGACAGAAGCGGCCATAAAAACACAAGTAATGAGCTTTCCATAAAAACAGCTATCAAAACTTTATTCTGCAATATAATTTTATATTATCAAACAGATTGGAGCCACAAACATTATCACACCTTTATGTGAAGTGTTTGGTTAAGTTCTACTTAGTATAATTATTCTAAATCATGATTCTAATAAAATACAAATAAACTAAACAGGAACACCATTTAACCCTCCTAAATATTCATGTGCAACAGATTTGCTTTTAAATGCTGAACGTTTAAGTAATGGCTTGTCAGGGCATTTTAAAGAAATATCTGTGCAGTTTAATGATCGACATGAGTCATAACAGGTTGTAAAATGAAGCTTTGTAATAAAACAGGCTGTGACAAAAAACATTGATGTTGACTATTTAAAAATGCCTTTGAACATGATCTTAATTTTTTCTCCTACAGTCTTAATTTTGGCTGATTTCCACCACCAGTGCCAATAAATTAGCTCTTGACAGAACACGTGACTGTTCTCTGTGGATCGGTAGCTCATCAAGTTTGTTAAAGGCTGGCAGAGTTACTTGTTACTGCTGCACTGAGGTGTCACTTGTGATATCTCAATGACAACAGTCCCAATCCCAGCCTCATCTGGGGGGGGGCAGAGGTCACACAGGGGTCAGAGGTGAGGAGGTTTTAAATGGAACACTTCAACTGAGGCTGACCATGAATTTTATTTGTACTGTCTAGATGTCCAATTAAATAAGCAACGCTGTGGCCGGCCAGTTCAAATGAACATGTCAACACTGATTTCAGCGATATGTGTCCTCAACAACAAGAGACTGTCACCGTTAATAGGAGTTCAGCTCCAACTTAAACTATCCAGACACCGTGTATTGTATTTATTAATGTTGTACGTTATGGTAACTCTCACTACTGATATTAATCTGCCTTTCTGCATAGCCACAACCTGCAGCTCTTATGTTCAACTGTACGGATTCATTGGCTGTCCTGCTAATATGTTACCGTCAAACTTTAACAATCTGTATCGGCTGTGCTATAGTCCCAAAATGTTCGAAAATGGAACAAAGTAGCGAATGGAAGTTTAAATAACTAAATATCTAATGCAGCCATAAGCTCCTTTGATTAACACAAAAAAAGACACTGAAACCGTATTTTTTTGTCAGCCTAAACATTCACCACAATTATTTTGTGCTTTGCAAGACTGTAAATCCTTGGTAAACAATAAAATGGTGTCTTTATAACATTGTTATATCGTCTGTTCCAAAATCTAGATTAAATATGAACTTTTAACGTGAAAGTAACACTACAAAACACATTAAATCGGGTCAAATATTATGTTGCTCTATAAACATTAGTCTGTTTCTTTTCTGACTAATGAAGTTAGGCTTTAACGTTATTTATAACAGATCAAGTTAATTACAAAGAAAAAAAAACTATAAATAATTCCTTAGTTTTGCTTACTACAAACAAAAGTCCAAGCTCGATATAAAGTAATATTTTAACAAATACAAATGCAAATTATATTCTGTCATGTTTCTTAACACATGGCTCTTCCAAAAAACATCATCCCACTGCAACAGTGATATCACTAGTTTCACTCAGATTTCAAAGTGAGAAGTGTTGATGTCAGCTGTTTCCTCAACATTAAATACCCCCCCCCCCAGCTACATTCAAACTGGTGCAGACGAGATTAGAAGTAGGACAGGCGGATAGTGACGGTTCTCCTGGGATTCATTTTGTCTATTTGCAGTCACAGTGGAACATTTGTTAAATTTGTTTTGTACATTATATCAAAAATAAAGTCACATGAAGGTTGAATACAGTGAATACATTTGTAAGTTACTGTAGGGTCAAGATTCCTTTATCAGATCCACCAAAGAGAGAGAATGTAAAGGACTGGGGGAGCACCATCAATCCTGTTGTCCTTCTAATGGGCAGCTGGGGTTAACACAGTCTGAGGTTAATTACTCTCATATCAGTGTGTGTGTGTGTGTGTGTATGTGTGTGTGTGTGTGTGTGTGGTGTGTGTGTGTGTGTGGTGTGTGTGTGTGTGTGTGTGTGTGTGTGTGTGTGTGTGTGTGTGTGTGTGTGTGTGTGTGTGTCACTATGAGACGGGTGTAGTGGACGCTCCTGGGTGCCCCTATGTGCTGAATACCCATCTCATCAATCATTCTTTCTTGCGCCTCAGTAGAGAGGGAGTGATACAGAAATAAAGAAGGAACTCAAGAGTGATGCTTTTTAAAATCCTGCTCTCCACCTCTGCTCTCCACCTCTGCTCCAGAAATGAACTCCGACAGGCCACAGACATCTGCTGGAAACTGACCTGGATGAAGGTGTAAGGCCTGTCATACACACTCACATACAGAGTACATGTAGACATGATGAGACACTGTGGAAACGCATCACTCACTCAAAACACACACTATAGAACTAACTGGTCTGAAGCTGTTGTTCGTGACTGATTTTTCTCTCACTTAATGTTTCCCCTGGACAACACACAGATAAGCTACCTGCCAAAGATAAATAGAGAGAGTGAGAAAAGGTGACCACTAGGGAAAGCATACAACAAAGATGGCAGGCAAGAAAGGAAGTCTAAGTAAACATATTAGATGGAAAGCCAATAAGGCCCCGCTCACACGGGACCGTTTGCGTTTATGCACAGTATGCGTATTCAAAAAAGTCTTCCGTTCACATGCATTTGTTTCATTTAACGTGTCTGTTCAAACGAGGCCGCTGGAAACGCTGTAGTACATATGCTGGGACTGTAAGTGGCGCTGTAACTTCCGCCAAAATACACCAAAAGCCTCGAAGAAGAGCAACCGAGCAGCCCGCTGCAATGTTGCCATGGCTACCCTTCTGTTTAAGCCCCGAAACTGAAACTGAAACTGAAAGAAACTGAAAGAAACCGAATCTGTGGATATTGCATCCCGACCAAGAAGCACGTCTCCGTGGAGAGGACGGCTCAGAAAGAGAGAGATATTCTCTACAAACACCGGGTGAGATCGCACCTTTGTCAATATAATGGATCAATGCATGAAATCTGACTCTGTTTATTTTGTTTAAGGAGTATATTGGGCGTTAACAATTCTGGTTTGCCTTTTATAATATTATTTCATTCAAGAACCCCTTGTGCGTTTAATTAACACAGCTATTTTTGATAGTTGCTACAGCAGTGAGCAGGAGAGGTGGGGGGGAGGCGGGGCTATCGTTATTTTTTCAGGAAATATTCGTATAGAGGTGATTACACGGACTCGGTTGACCCCCCAGAGCGTTTCGTTTGCAAATCTATCCACCTTGGGACCCGTTATCGTTTGTGGGGTCAGTTTCTATCGGCCTCGTGTAAATAATAGGGCTATACGCACGCGAAACTATGCAGATACAAGCAGTTTTCTCCTCGTGTAAACGGCGCCTAAATGATCCTTGAGTTGAAACTGTTTTTTTAGAAAATGTTTCCAAAGTCAAGTATGAATCTAAACTTTGAACCTACATGAAAGACATCCTCAAGGTGTTCTACAATTCAATCTGCTTTAAATGAAGAGATACGATGTAAACCTCCAGAACAGCTTTCAAATGGACCTCATCTAGACATTGTTTAGTCAGAGTTCAACTTAATTGTCCTTTCCTCTTATGTAATTGTAGTTACAAACTAAATAAAGATAGCAACGCTCATATTTGATGTACCATACACTGCTTTAATTGTCCACAACGGCAAATATCAACCCTGCAGGTTTATCTTGCGGCCCCTCCGCCCAACATACAACACCCCGGTTTGAAAAGATGCTTCTAGTCTTTTATCTGCAGACAATTTGATTTACTGAAAACTGCCTCAAGTCTTGCTTTGATGCCGACACATGCAGGTGAACAGACACCCAGATATATTGATTAAATAAGGGATACATGTGTTGTCTGTCACACAGGCATACAGACCTAATCATTAATACATTCCCTGCAACATAAATTAAGTATGAAACCTGTTAAAGAGTTAAAAATCCAACAACTAATCTTTAGTTAGGTCAATGAAGGTGATTTCACCTCCCCCCTTAGCGCTGCATGGACAGAGGTGAGATGGGGGAAGGACTCGTTTAGAAGTTACATTAATCACCGTCTGGCCACATCAAAATGGGATAATCACCTGCAACGGCTCTGCTCAAATAGAAATGGCCTAAACCCAGGGGAAATTCTACCGAACTCTTTAATTGTTTGAAGCCTTTCAAGGGTCTGTTTAATCTAAGATTAATTTATGCACTTTTAAATAACTCTATGTATGATTAATACGCTCAAACGAAATTAAAAGGAGTTTGAGGCAATTATAACATAGGACTGGTCATCACCTCATTAGAACAGTGTTGCCGTGTTTGTCAGTGTGTAGGTGTGTGTAGGGGTGTGTGTGTGTGTGTGTGTGTGTGTGTGTGTGTGTGTGTGTGTGTGTGTGTGTGTGTGTGTGTGTGTGTGTGTGTGTGTGTGTGTGTGAGGGACAGAGAGA